AATTTTTTAATTAGAATCTTCAGAAAAAAATTTGGTTTGCAGTTTTGTAGCTCATTAAAACTGAGTATAATAAAGTGTGAGTGGAAAGTGCTGCTCATTTGCTTCTCTTTAAAAAAAATGGTCGAACATACTTACATTGTATGAAAAAATTTAACGAATGTTTTTATAAAATTTTACGGGGTAAAAATCTCGAGAAAATTATCCTAGAAATTTGTGATGTTACTAAAAGGTTACTGTTTCAGGGCTAATACATCTAAGATCATTGAAGAAGGCTTTAAGATATGTAAGCTGTTGTGGAAAAAATTTTAAAACTATCTTTTGTCCCGTATTCGGCTCTCATAAGTATGGTCACCGTAGTTATATGGCTTCAGCAAGCGTAGTAATTTACGATGAGAGAAGTACAAACTCTTTCCTTACTTGCGAGATAGATATGCTCTCTTCAAAAACCTATTTATCTCCAGAAGTGATAGATTGGTTGTTAAAATTTATATCCCCACATTAGGTTTGTTCCATACGCATGGTACAATAATTACAGGTATTGTCTTTCCAGAGAGCGCATCTTTAAATTGGTAGGCAATTAGGAAGGTAAGTCCTCTGGACAATAGCAATGAGAATATTCGATGAGGAGGCCCTTGGCGAGAAAAAAAAATTGTGGAGGCTTTACGGGCCCTTACGCGTTGACGACTGCAGACAGCAAATGATGGATTGCTGAGCTGTATGAGCATTACAACCTACATAGTAAAATGAATTAAAGTAAAGTCATGTTTTACGAATTGACACAAACGCTCCAGTCACGAAAGTATTAAACGTGGTAGCCGCTGGTGATAGCATAGGAAGAGTCCTTCTCTGCGATCGAATGACCAGGACGAGAAGGACCTGGTGTCAGTTGGCACAGAAGAGAAGTACCAGTGTGGTTTCGACCAAAACCGACAAATGGTTGTAGTACCAAATAAAATAGAGAAGAAACGTTGTTCGAAAGACCAATTTTGATGTTCTTGTGCCCATTTGAGTCGTTTACGAACGTTTACCGGCCGCAACAATGTTTTTTTTTTGCAAACCAAACGAATTTTCCAAGTGAGTCCAAACTTTTGCAAACAAATTCTATAAATCTAGGAAGAATTAGGGCTGTGCGATTAATCGAAACCAGATTAATTACTTAATCAAAGAATAATAATTTTTGATTAAGCAAAGTGATTAATTCCTCGACTAATTACATTTTAATTGATCAGAATCTTTTTATTTTCAGAAAACTGATTAATCATAACCTGATCAGTTAGAAACCTGAAAAATTCCTGCTATACTTATTTTTCTTTGTTCTGCAGTGTATCCTTTAAATGTGCCGCAGAAAGTCTCGGGACCATGCAATCGCATTTGGGCTCCACGGTTTGCCAGACAGTCAGCCCTTTCGTCGGCTTCAAACCTTCAATGCCCAGGGGTCCACCACAGCTTCACTCTATTATGAGCTCCTAGGCTGTTCAACTGTNCGATACTTGAGTGGAAGATCGACCTTTCTCGGCAGCCAGTTCGAAAACTCCCTAACTCCGAAAACTTTTCAAGAATGCCCTACTTTAGAATTTGATTGAAGAACGCCCCATTTCAGAATTTGATTTAAAAACGTCATATCTCAGATTTTGGTTGAAGAACGCCCTATTTCAGCTGCTGATTCAAAAACGCTCTCATAAAAGACCATCGGCGCGCAAATTAGCAAAATGTTGAAGAGCAACGCTTTGATGCGGATTGTGGCTAGACGCTCGTCCACCGGGGTGAGCATTATTGGGCGACGAATTTTTTGGATGGCGGAAATTACAGGTGCATGCCCCCAAAGCGTAGTCTTTTAAACGTCTGCCGTGGTCGTCACCAAAAGGGGGGCCTCCTCCTAGGTTTTGTTTTTAGTCTTCACTGAAAGGGGTTTAGCGAGCCGCTTGCTCCAAGACAGACGCCCGGTGAACAGTGGCCAAATTGGTCTAAAGATATGTAAATTAATTATTAATTGAGTCACCAATTGTCTCTTGGTTATAGCACACAAATCTTTGATATCGAAGAGAGTTTGCATATAATGAATTTTTGATTTTTACCATTTATAGGCCTATCAACTTTGCAGCACAAGAACACCGCAGTGATTGGTTTTTGAAGGTTAGTTAACATTTTCCACTAGAAACTCGCAATTTATAAAGTAAAAATTACAATATTTTCAACACCTAGGTCAATCCACGCCACACCGTACCTGTGCTAGTCGATCAAGGCGTTTCGCTGTGCGACAGTCATGCCATCATCACATATATGGTCAATCAATATGGCCAGAGTCAACATGAGCATTTATATCCTAAAGATTTTCTTCAACGTGCCATAATTGACGAGCGACTCTACTATGAAAATGGTATACTTTTTCAAGTCATAAAAGATTTTGTGGTAAGATTAAAGTGAAGGGAATTGCACAACATTGAATTCGAACCAAATTTTACTGTGTTACAGGCGCGCATAATGTATGGTGGCGAAATTTCTTATCATCGTAAAAGTATTGAGCTATCGCATAATGCCTACACTTTTCTTGAGGAATTTCTAGCGAGAAACACCTACGTCGCAGGCGAACATTTGACCCTAGCCGATATTTCTATAAATACTACATTAATTACTTTGCACAAATTAGTGACGGTGGAAGAGAGACGGTAGGTAGTTTATATACATTCATCACCGACCTACATACGTATCTCAAATAATTACTTTGATCTGATATAATCTGCAGGTATCCGAAAATTTGCGCTTGGATGCAGCGGTTGCGAGAGGAATTACCCGAATATGAGGAGCTCAATGAAAAAGGCGCACAACAACTTTATTTACGGTTCCAAAACTCTTTGGAGGATAATATGACGAAACATGCGTAACGAAGCGCTTGAGTCAGGGGCATTAGTATGTTACTGAGCTCATTTTTAGTTTGTTTTTTTAATAGTACCTCGTAATGGCAACTGGAGTAGGTGAAAATACATGTGTTCGTAATGTCCGTTTTTATTTCCTTCCTACTGGTCTCCCAACCTATAGCTGCCATGAAACGTAGAACAAATTTCGATGGGCATCAGTGTATGAATTGTCACAATCCGCATCAAAGCTTTACTTGTGTCAAGAGCAGAACGATGAGATCATAGCTCCAATTCCAGCTAATGCAAACTAAGTACCTAATATATGAAAGAAAACGGTTCGGAAGACCGTTGTAGAATCCTTTTAATTAATTCGAGGTCCTTTTCAAGGACAGATTGCCCAGTAAATTTTTTTTTCCATTAAATTTAGGTAAGGTAAATAGGGAGGCCGCTGCAAAATAATGTTTTTCTTGTTATTTTCGCTTTTGCAGCTCTTCTTATACAAATCGGTCTTACATATTCTGTTGCCACATTTAATAAAAAGGTCTGAGAATATTTTATAATTTTCGGTGCTTGAAATTTCAGCTTAATTTTTCCATAATGCGGATTCGCATCCTAGACTCCCGTAGTGAATTGTGAAAATTATTATTAAAACACCACCTTTTTTCTATAATTTCATTTTCATCAGTTAATCTTTCATTCCCATGTTACCTTTCATTTTGGCAATATCTTGTATTTCTTTTTTTACTACGCTGCTTTTAATTTTCTGCCCGAGAAATTCAATTTCTTTCGGCAGTTCGCTAGGTGTTATTTGGAATTACTTTTCAACTTTTCAAACCCTTTAGTTGTTAGCAATTTGATTAACATCCCTCAAAGCACAACCCAGCCAAAATATATGTACATACCTAGATTTTCCAGCCTAAGACCTTCTGAAAAAAACTTACACAAAACGTCTATTTCTATTTCACCATTTATCTTCGGAATGAAATTAAAACGAAACCGCTCCGATGCCTGTTAGAGCAAGCGTAAGATCAAATCTAAAAGGAAAAATATGTGCTTGTTCAAAAGATTCAAAACATCCTTTTTCATGCAAAAATGCTCCTAGATGCTCTAATAGCAATTCTGTATCGAAATTATGATTTGAAAAAATGTCGCTTACGTCATGTTTGCGGTTAAGGCTCGATATATTTAATATGTTTCAAATATTCATATAAGTGCTTCCAGCGAATTATATCCCACTCTTGAGTTTTTGTGCTTTATCTTTTGCAAAAAAAATCCTATGTTGAATCACAATTTCATTGCTTACCTTTTTATCAGCTAGTAAGACTTTCGTCTTTTTAATCTGTCGGCATTTCGAAGCAAGAAAATTTGTAAATATGTAGATTTTAATGTCAGACAGTATTTCATTGCATAAATTACGCTTTTAGTTACATAATCTTCGTCGCTAAAAACGATTTGATACAAAATCAGCAAGACCTGTTTTCATAATTTTTTAGAAGCAAAAAAAACCAATTAATGAACTTCCTGTAGCGCCAGCCAAGCATTCTGATTTTGAGGATGCAAACGTATAGCATGCTGTATCAATTTTAGGGAGCGCGTTTTATCTACAGGTCCTAATGCGCGACTCGCAATCAGTAACAATTGGGAGTCTTCAATGCAGTCGCTCCTGAAATATATAAAAATTATGATATAAAAAAAATTATTTGGCAATGAAGGTACTTACTTTTGTGCTTTATTGCGATGCAATAAAGTAATTGAGCTCAGNAGTATTGTGCCGTCAAATATGAAATATGCGCACAATAAGCTTCGCTATTTTCGTACTTCTTCAACTCCGCCAGAATAGTTGTTGTTAGTTGATTATCATGATGCAGAATACCCAGTGCACAGGCAGAATAGAGAGCCTGTATGGGAGAGTTCTTAAGCAAGATGCTTAAAAAGTTAAACGGTATAAAAAATTTGTTGCCAGGAAAACCAGTTGAAAAAAATTACTAACAAAAAATTAGCACCCACCATTGATATAGAATCGTTTTGGTATCTGCTTCTCCTTGCGACGAATACACCATCGCGGCCATTGCTACCAATATCATGCCCGCCTTTTCCTCGTTATTATCTGCCATACTCTTCAATACAGAGTTATATACTGAATATGCCTCCTGATGTTGGCCAGCGCGCACAAAAGCCAGAGCCAATCCAATAATGGCATTGAGTGATGAATGTACTACTCGATTGAAAATCTGTATAGCATCATTGGGCTGATTTAACTTCAAGTAGAGATAACCTAAGCTCGTGAGTAATTTATCACGCTCAGCACTAGGTGTTGTGCACTTTCACAGCTTGAAGGTATGCTCTCACTGCAGGACGATAATGTCGCTGCCGTAAACTTAAGAATCCTTGGAAGGAAAGTGCGGCAGAAGTTGCATCTTTTTCTTCGTTTATAACGTGCCTGCGTTAGCATTTATTATAATTTAAATTGAAAAACAATTAAAAATTAATACCACTCTAATATTCACCATTACCAATTAATTGCATCCAACGCCACCACGTCAGCATACATGCTATCGATAGCATGTCGATAATGTGGTATTTTGCACTTTTCCGCATCCGTTAACACCATGCAAACCCAGTGCGCATATCCCAGTGAGGACTCGGGGTGATATTCAAACTGCTGGCAGTGTCTGAAAAGATCTAAAGCTTCCTCCTCTTCGCCAATACTTTCGGCGATCATAGCTTGTCCAATCCACGCATTTCCATATATAGGACTGGACTGCTGAGCACGCTGAAATGCCTGATTAGCAAGCTTTATTTCGTTCAGTCTTTAAGTAGAGCACACCCAGATTTGTCCAAGTTGTATAAGATTTCGTTCAAGCGTCAGTGCCTGAATGAAACAATGCTGTGCTAAGGGCAATTGGTTGATTTCTAAAAATTTAAGGTAAGTTTAAACATATTATTTTTCTCTGGGTGTAATGTTTACCCTTATGCAAATTTATTACTCCAAGCAAATTCCAATTTTGCCAACGGTCGCTTTGCTCATTTACAGCCAATTTGGAGGCTTTGATAGCCAATGCCAAATGAGAAGTTGCTTCATCGGGAATATAGATCGCGGAGTAGTAACAACACAATGCGAATTCATACCAAATAAATGTGTTTGCTTTTAACTTAATGGCGCAGGTGTAAAATCTGTTAAAACAATATATGTACATATTAATACCAATATTTGCAAGCTGCACAAATTAAGGCGCACAGTTTTACACACCTTGCAGCTAATGTGAAAAGGTCCTTCCTTTGCAAAATCGCTGTTTCATCTTCCAACTTTGCCAGTTTCCCTGATACTTCCAGGTATGCCAATGAGTTCGGCATGAGTGCTGTTTGTACAAACACATTGGCGGTTAGGCGCCACAACCAAAACATACTTTGACCGTTCAAAGTCAAGAATGCGCTAAAAGAATAAAGGTTTATTGGTAAATTAGATTAATTGAATTTTAAATGAATACCTTTGCAAATGATTAACAGCCAACTGCAAATGGTCCTTACAACGTCCATATAGATGCTCCAACTTTAAATTGTTCGCCAGACCAATATGTGCCTCAGCAGCGCCCTTTAAACCAGGTAAATAATCGGGATGGCCGCGTAGCAAGTCATCGAATTCCGCTATAGCTTCGGTATACATTCGCACAGTCTGTGTGAAATTAAGGAAAACTATCGCACCCTTCATGAAATTAAAATATTTGTACCGCTTTTACTTACAGATTTAATCAATGCAATTTGTAGTTTAGCGTAAATATTACTTGGATTCATTTCGAGTATTTTTTGGAAAACTCGTATAGCAGAGTTATAAGAACCACGCTCTGCATAAGCGTCACCCAGAGATTCCCAATAATTCATGCAACTGTTATCGAGCTTAATAGCTGTGCGGAACGACTGTATGGCCTGGTAAAGTGATATATATTTTATTTAGCTATTAAAAAGATCCCAAGTAATGCGATAAGTACTAACATCATCCCACTTATTAACATGAAAATAATGCAAACCGAGCTTGTACTGTATATGTTTAGAATCTTCACACTTCATATGTTTGAGTGTATTAAGCAGCAATGCAACGTTCAAATCCTGATGGGAGAAAATTTATTTTAAGTACAAAAAATAAACAAGCTTAGACAAAAATATACCTCTTCACCTAGTTGCTGATAAATAGCGCTTAAATTATTCACTGCGCTCTCGCATATGGGGTTTAAATTTACACATTTTTCAAAACATTTTCGTGAGCGCACTATATCCTTTGTGCCATAGTATATTTTACCAAGGTAATGGAAGCATTCTGCGTAATATGGTCGTAAACGAGTTGCCTTAAGCATACAATTCAAAGCGGCAGCATAGTTTGCCAATTGTAAATGTAATTTTGAGAGTAAGAAAAGTGTATCAAATGATTCAGAATCGGTGGAGTTTGTCAAAGCATCGATTCCAGCAAGAGGCGCCCTAAAAATAGTGTCTTCGTTAGTAGATAAACGTAAACAAAAAACTGATTCGTTACATAAGAAATTCGGCTTGTTGCACTGTATTTAAATGCAATGTCTTTAGTTTGTCCATTTCGCCTATTTTGAAGTAACATCTGGCAAATAATTTTTT